CTGAAGACTGGAGTACTGATGCTGAAAATTCAGCTTTGCATCACATGAATAAAATACATTTGAAAATATATTCAAATAGAAAACTGTTTTTCATTGTAATAATATTTCACAATTTTAGTTTTTTTGTATTTCTGATCAAATAAATGCAGCCTTGCTGAGCATAAGAAATGTTACATATTAAAAACATAAAATAAAATAAATCTTTAGGACTCCAAACTATTAGGCTATTCTTACTCTTAAAGTATTATATTACATGATTTTGCTTTTCTATTACACCTTGATAACATTTAGGGTATTTTACCTCAAAAGGAGACAACATTGATTAAGAAAACCTTTTTCTTTGCAGTGATAATGGTCCATATATCTTCCTGTTAGAATCTGTATCTATTCTTCAAACATAATCTTGGCTCTAAATGCTTTTATCTGAAACCAAGTTGAAAGTATTGATTGGCCACGGGAAGTTAATTAAACACAAGTTGACCCAGAGTGCCTGTCTGTCCTGACCTCTCCCCACTTCTCATATTCCTTCCCTCCTTCCCTCACACCAACCCTGAACTGACAGTTAACAAGCACAGTCTACAGACCTTTGACCTGCCTGTTAGTCAAGCCATTCCAAGCCTGCCATAGAGAGAGAGAGAGAGAGACAGAGAGCAGGAAGAGAGACAAGAGGGGGAGGGAGAAAAGAAGGCTCAAACTTGCTCTCTCACGTTCAAGCCACAATTTTTTTAGACTGCAGCCATTATTCCTCTCACTTCCTGTCCCAGAAAACACTCTTTATTGACACACAAGGGACAGACCAAAGAGATCCGAAATGTTCACAAGTGGTCCTGAGATTTAGAGGTCAAAGGTCAAAGTCTGAATCCTGATCCCTACATGCAAACATAGACAAATGTCATGACCCCGTCTGCAGTGCTGGGATAGCGAGGGTTATAGCGTTACCTCCACGGCGGTGGGATGGCTGTGTCCGTTCTCCAGCTGAGGAACCCCTGGCATGATCATCTCATCCTCTTCTGGTGGTTTCCAAATGTACTGCTCTCCGTTGCCCATGAAGACCGCCTCCTGTTGGACACATGAGGAACATGCAGGCCGGTCAGATCTCCTCAAGCACTGCTAATGCAAACAGACTGATTTTTGTGTCGCCTGAATTCTAGCTCTCCATGTTCGTGAGTTTATGAGAGAAGCAACAACATCTGTTTTGTGAACGAATCAATTCTGTGTCCAATATTTGCAATGAATCAGCAACTCTTGTTCACAACAGCATTCTGAATCATTCATCCCCAGTCAGACTGATTCGATTCTACAGTCTAATTGATTAAAAAATGCTGAAAATGTACACACCCTCAGGACATCAAAGATACAGATGAGTTTGTTTCTGGACAGATTTGGAGAAACGTAGCGTTACATCACTTGCTCACCAATGGATGCTCTGCAGTGAAT